CTGTTCCTCATGCAGCCTCCCCTCCTAGCAATGAAACAAGCCCACCTTTGTTCAACTACGGGGGTGTTCTCGGAGGTATTTGGGTGGAGGGCACTGACCAAGTGAGAGCTACCTGGAGGGTAGCTGCTATTATTATGCCTCGAGGGGAATTCAGGAAGCGCCCACAGCGTCGAGCGGACTTCCTAAAGCAGCGTTTCGGGCTTCCCGACCGCCTGCCTCTTGCCAGGCCCTTTTTCCTCAGGCTCTGTCTTTTCACTTTGGTCTGCAGAGAGGAGGCTTTTGGAGTCCGGCCTCCCGAGGTGAAATCCTGTCTTCCTTTCGATTTCCCAAGAAGTAACCGCTCCCCTCCCCAGCTCCGGCTCCAAGTTAGAGTTCCCGAAACACTACAGCACCCCACAGAGGCGCGGCGCGGGTAGAGCAGGAAAATGAAAGCCCCAGCTGGCTCCTACTACGGAGCGCCGGTATTACCCACCGCCCTAACCCGGGAGAAACGGTCCCGAACTCGCTCGATAAGCAGGGCAGGGCAGGGCAGGGCAGGGCAGCGCGGCCGCTCCACCGGCGTAAGGCTGAGGTAAAAGTCCGCGCTCGCAAAACCGAATCTTCCCGGCCGGCTTCCTCAGACGTCACGCACGCGCACGGGCGTCTGGGCGGCCGCTGTGGCGCGGCCCGCCTCCTCCAGGCGGACTACAGGTCCCGGCTTGCCCCGAGAGGCGGCGTCGCCGGGGAACTCGCGCCAGAAGGAGCACGTTGGTTCAGCTCCGCCGCGCGCTTGCGCACTGACGGGCTCTGCGCAGGCGCATTTCCAACGCTTGGGAGTGGAGGGCGGGGTGTTGTTCCCTTTCGCTGATGCAAGAGCCTAGTGCGGTGGTGGGAGAGGTGTCGGTGAGATCTGTGCTGCCGGTGAGGCCTGGGGTTGACCCGTCGACGTCTCGTCCGTGCCGAGCCTTCTGGAGCCGCAGCCATGTCCGGGGACGAGGTGAGGGCCTAAGCCTGGCGTTAGGGCTGGGGACTGAGGCTGGGAGCCGAACCCATCCTCGTGTGGGAGACCGGGTGTGCGGCCTAGCGGCCGGCCGCCATGTGGGACAGCCGGGCCTAGGCAGCCCGGAGCGGTGGAGCTGGCGAGGACTCCGGAGTCGCGGGCTGGGTCGCGTCCCGCTCTCCTCAGGGCGGCGGTGCTGAAGCCGGCGTTTCCGGAATGGAGAGCACATTGAGTCGTCCACCCCGGATGGGGCTTGGGTGCCGGTTAATGTCCCGACTGAACGAGATTGGGGCTGGCGACCCCTGCATTCCTTTCGGTTTGACACTGCAGCTCCAACTCTCCTCGCTGGGATCCTAGGTGCCGAGAGGAGCCTCCTTGAGCTGCGGTGGAGCCCTGGTTAAAAACTTTGGCAGGCTGGCCTGTCCTGGCCGGCATCCGCTGTTCTCATTTCGAGCATTATTTCTTAAAAAGATCAGGGGGTGGGGAGGATAGGACGAGAGGTCAAGGCGCTTCAGCCTCAAAAAGTGTCGAACCTCGGAAAGTTTTAGGGTGGAGTCCGAGTTTTCCTTCAGAGTTCACTGCGACGGGAGCGGGAAGTCAGGGCTGCGAAGCTGGCTGGGTCTTTTTCTACCCTCGTGCTTGTGCCTCAGCAAATTTCTTCAAGTCCCTTTTGGCCAGATTTATGCCAGTTCATGTTAAATCAAACGGCTTAAAATGAAATTGGATTTTAAGTGTCAGTAGGTATCTACTAACACTGGGGGGAGAGCTACCGCTTCCCGGCGAGCTCTCCCCACCAAAAAAAGGCTCTTGAATTTATAGTTCACTTCTGTAAATATTCGAGTGCATGGCCTATACGGACTTGGAGAGAAGGAAGAAGAAAAATGTGAGGCTTTTCGGAGTGTTGGCTTCTGAGGTAGTCCCTGAACGGTCCTTAGCATTTCCTCTTGTAATGGAAAGGCCTGATCACAGGGCAAGGAGGTGGTTAAGAAGGCAAGTATGTGTGTTCACAGAAAGTAGAGTATTTTCCAGTTTGGTTAGAGTTAATTTCTTGAAATGTAGTTAGTGGCTAGTTCATGGAGGAATTTGAAGACCAAATTAAGGAATTTGGGTTTATTCTGGAGGGGACTCAAGTCTCTCATTTGATTTCCACAACAATCTGCTAAGATAGGTATGAAAAAACTATCTTAAGGCCCATTTTATGGATGAAAAAACTGAGGCTTAGAGTGTTGTATCATGCCTGTGATCAGATAGTAAGTGGTTGAGCCAGTAGAATTCCAGATCAATGTAATATTTCCTCCATCTAGGTGAGTAGGAAGCTCTTGCTCTCTTAGGAGAAACTGAGGGTCTAAAGGACGTAGGTGGTCTTGCTTGGAGGTCATAGTAGACATTGCTCTGAGCTACTGTATTTCAAAAGTTGCAAGAGGCAGTGTTTCACGTTTGTTTTTTCTATACATTTTCTAAGCTCTTCATAACCTTTAAAGACTACACTTATGTAGTGCAAAGTACTGTGGAATGCTATTTTTTGTGTGGTTTCTATGGTAAAGTGCTCACAAGTGGTATAGGGGATGTAAGAGAGATCAACCAGTTTCTACAGGAGGTAGAAAGCCATCAACAGAAATTTGTGGGGCTGGAGGATTCAGTTTTAGCAGTGGGATCAGGAAGGAAGTGGAATATGGCAGAACCAGCATTCCAGTAGAGAACTTTTGGAAGCCAATAAAGTATTAAGTAGCTTGGCACTTTTTAGGTCTACCAGTTGAACTTCATTTTATAGACAGGAAACTAGGGCTCAGGAAGGTTAACTTGCCCAGGATCTCACAGCAAGTTAGTGACACTAAAAACCAGCCTTTGACTTCTACTCTGGAGGAATGTGAAGGTTCTGGTTTCTCCAATATTGTTGACTAGGTAAGTATTCTTAGGCCAGTCCTTAATTTCTGACTATACAGACAAATGAAAACCTATCCATGGAAGTAATGAAAGTAAACTGTACACTTTATTTTTTTTTAGAGAGAGCGAAACATTGATTTGTTGTCCCACTTATTTATGCATTCATTGGTTGATTCTTGTATGCGCCCTGACCTGGGAACAAATCCACACCTTGGCATATCAGGATGATGCTCTAACTGAGAGCTTCCTGACCAGGGCTGTACGTACTTTTTAAAACCTGGTAATTAAGCCAAAACTCACCAAAACATAATCTCTTTTAACCTAGTGGAACCAAGACCTTTATTTATGTTTGTATTTGTTTTTTAAAACATATCTTTATTGATTTCAGAGAGAGGAAGGCAGGGAGAGAGAGAGTCATTGATCAGCTGCCTCCTGCACAACTCCTACTGGGGATTGAGCCTGAAACCCAAGCATGTGCCCTGACCTGGAATCTAACCTGTCTCTCCTGGATCATAGGTTGATGCTCAACCACTGAGCCATACCGGCAGGGCAGGAACCAAGACCTTTAAAAAGCAGTATTCTAGAAATATGGGTGCTACCCAGTAAGGAAAAATTCTCTAATCTGTAAAGTGCTGGCAGTAGTTAAGATGATTGCTTATTACTAGACCCCGTTCATTAGGTGTCAAAACATTGGGTTTTCACACAACACGGTAATTTGGTTTACGAAAGAAGCTTTAAGCTAAAGAAATTTCTGATTAAAAAGTAGAATGTGTGTTGTACTAAGTGTACAAAATACAGAAGAATACAAAGAGAAATAAAAATCTCCTAGAACCCTATCACCCAGAGATGGCAACACTTGGCATTTGTTCTGTCCTTGCTTCTCTAGGCACTGTTTGCTTCTCAAATTCAAACACGGGTCATAAACAAGACATTTGGAACATGATAATTTGTTGTCATATATGAAAGTCTTAAAAAGAGCATTTTTTTAGTCAAGACTGACAGGGCATTGTGGTTTGGGATAGGACTGCTTTAGGATCCCTGGTTTCCTTGTTTTTAACTCTATGAGCGGTGGTGTGAATAAAATGAGGTGACGAGTGTATGTCTTAAGTATCCAGAGACATAATTAAAAGAGATGTAAATTATTTCAGTGTGTAATTCCTGCATGTTTTATATTTTTACAAGGCTATCACCAAACTGTTAACCTGTAGGCCTAAATACAAATGTTTTTCAGAGGATAAGACAGTTGTGAGGCTGTCCTCTTCTGATTTCAGGATCCCTCCCATGTGGCCTGTCTTGCTGAGTAATAGTTAAAAGATAATTAATATTCCAGGGCAGTTGCTACTTGAAAAAAATGCAATAAATGAATTGTAAGCCTTGCCAGATAACCAACTTACAGCACCTGGAGTGTTGTCTGTCCTTTTGCCAAATCTCCATATCTGAGGAGTGTGGATGAACTGTAGCTACCTCCTTGGAACAGATAGCAACACTCCATGTAGGATGACCTGTGGCTTAATAGGTCAGCAGTGGGGAATTCCTTCTTCCTGGTTCTTCCATTCTCTTCTTTAAGTTTGCCAAATTAAGTTCTTCAGACTGACTGCATTTCAGAATTAGTCATTTATACAGTTAGGTTCTTATTAAGATCTGAGAGGATAACTTTGAAATGAGGCTGTATCAATTTCCAGAATGTATTGCAGATCCCTACCTTATTACAGACCATAGTTTGGTTTTAGTGTAGCTCAGTTCCTTTAATGTACTTGGGACATAAAGAAATTTAAGTTAATTAGAATCAATTTGGGGAGTTTTTTTGAGTTTCGTTATGTCTTGGAAGTTAGATCACCCTGAGTTGATGAAATTTTAGTTGTAGGGATCAAGAGATACCCTGCTTTGTGAACTGTAAAGCATTATATAAATTATGGTAATTGCTAACTTTGAGTACTTTTGTGCCAGTCACTATGCCAAGTGTTTTATATTTATTTATTCATTTAATCCTAGTAACCTTTTGAGGTTTGATTTTGGTTCTTTTGCTGATCTCCATTTTACAGATGAGGCATGGAGAGGGCAAGAACTTACCTGGAGTAATACAAGTAAGAGCCAGAGTCAGGATTTGAATTTAGTCAGTTGTGTGCCCAGACACTTCACTGTACTGTCACAGAAGTTCATTGGGGAAAATGCTGAATTTAAGCATGGTAGAATTTAGACAAAAATTGGTAAGGGGCTTAGAGAAAAAAATACTTGGTATTTGAATCCAATTCTGTTTGATTTCAGTGACCTGACTCTTTCCACTGTATTGGCATCTGCCCTATATGTTGTTTAAATTGTTATGTCTAAAATAACTATATTTCTCCCCAAGTAATCAGTACAAACAGATAGTCTACAACAAGTTATAAGTTAGTTTTTCACTTATTCTCCAGTGGACATCAGATAAAAATAACCTACTAAAACTCTTAATGTTCCAGAAAACAAAAAATAGAGTAAAAGGTTGTATAGAAGTCTCTCTTACTCAGATACAGATTTGCTATATGAAGAGTTGCTGGTGGATTTCCTTAAAGATTTGTCTGAACTTCAAGATAAAATTAAAAAAAAATTATTTTACTAGGTCAAGTCTCCTAGTGTAGCGACTCCAGCTTGCCATCCTTAAATAAACATGTATAACCTGTCTAGGTATTAGTTTCTCATCCACAAAGTGAGAGGTGTAGCATAGGTCATTGTTAAGACCCCTTCCCTAAATTCCATGATTAAATCATCATAAAGTTTCCACATTTGCTCATGAAACTAAAAGTCAAGTTGCTGTATCTTGTGATAATTTACAAATTGAAAGGTAGGTGCACGTGTTTAAGGAACCCCCCCTTCCTCATGTTAGTATAAGGAAGGCGGATGGACTTTTTTAATCCTATTTTTGGTATTTTAGTGCATCAAATACTCTTTTAAGAGTACCATTTGAGGATACAGCATATTTGGAACATGAGCATCATTGAAAACAATCACTTGGTCCCTTTTTTATTGTCTTTTAAACAGATGATTTTTGATCCTACTATGAGCAAGAAGAAAAAGAAGAAGAAGAAGCCTTTTATGTTAGATGAGGAAGGGGATGCCCAGACAGAAGAAACTCAGCCCTCAGAAACGAAAGAAGTGGAGCCAGAGCCAACCGAGGACAAAGATGTAGAAGCTGATGAAGAGGACAGTAGGAAAAAAGGTGAGTGGTAGATGTGAAAGCCAATCTTCTGCTGGAACACCTGGTTCTCTTCCATTGGGTTTTGGATTTTGTGCATACATTGACCCCTCAGCCTGATAAGGCTATTCCAGTGAAAGTTGAGGCCATCAACAGTCTCTGTGCACTGGACCTTGCCAAATTTCTGATAGACTTGTTCCAAGGAAATTCCCATTGAATCCACAAGTGGCAGAGGTGACAAAACCTTGTCATTCCAGGGCTGATTTTTCCAGTCTAACCTGTCAGGTCTCTTTGTATTTTAATGGTGGTTGTAGTTGAATGAAGGCAGAAAGAAATAGGACCAAGGTAGGCAGTTTTGTGTCTTAGCAAGTCTGAAAATATATAGAAAAAATTAAAATTATTTTTTAAATGTTTCAGTTTAGACACCAGCATTAGTTTTGATGTAGATACCATTTAACTATTAGAAATAAATGATTCAGTAAACGTAATGTCTGTTGAATATAAGACACTGCTGGCGATAGAACTGACATTCATTGAACATCTCTCATGTGCTAAGCATCTTGTATGTATTTAAAACAAACTTAGAAAGTAAGTCATTCTTGTAATAAGACAAAATTAATTCATAACTAGCTTCTTGAAAAAAACTTTATAGCAGAGGGATCCTAATATATTCTTAGTGTACAACAAGGCAGAACAAATGGAAAATTTATTGAACAGAACCCATTACTACTCAGTAATGGTAGAAAAAATTTATCGCATATTGTAGCCTCATTTAATGAATGTGAAATACTTTATAAGGCCTTTTGTTGATTGATTTAATAACATGTAGAGCTAGGCACTAGGATTTAGGTGAACAAGGCATATCCCCTTAGGATCTAGTAGGCAGCTAGGTAAGTATCTCCTTTGGGGTGGCAAGGTACTATTGAAGCACCTGGGGGGCACCCAGTTGTGGAAAAGGAGGGATAGATAGGCTTAGAAAAGGCTTCTTGGTGGAAGTAACTAACCAGGATCCTTTGAGATGAAGGTAAGAGCTATGTGGGAGGGTCCATGGCAAGGGTTGGAGGTGAGAGACTGCAGGCACTGCACTGAAGTGGAAGTACTTCATTTGGGTTGGAACCAGGGATTAATGTAGGGGAGATGAGATGGTAAGCAGAAGTGGAGAGGTGAAGCTGGAGAGCCTTAAAAATTGTGTTAAGCGCAGCCGGGTGTGGCTCAGTGGTTGAGCATCAACCTAGGATCCAGGAGATTGTGGTTCAATTCCCAGTCAGGGTATAAGGGAATGCAGGCTGGTGCAGCCACTATGGAAAGCAGTATGGAGTTTCCTTGAAGGATTAAAAATTGACCTGCCATTTGACCCAGTGATCCCACTTCTAGGAATATATTCTAAGGAACCTAAAACACCAATCACAAAGAACTTATGCACCCCTATGTTCATAGCAACGCAATTTACAATAGCTAAGATCTGGAAACAGCCCAAGTGCCCATCAGTAGATGAGTGGATAAAAAGGCTGTGGCACATTTACACCATGGAATACTATGCAGCTGTAAAGAGGAAGGATCTCTTATCCTTTGGCACAGCATGGAGGGAACTAGAAAGTATTATGCTAAGTGAAATAAGCCAGTCAGAGAAAGACAAGTACCACATGATCTCACTTATATGTGGAATATAATAATAAATTGATGAACAAAGTGGATCTAGAGACATAGAAGCATGGAACAGACTAAGGGATCTCAGAGGGAAGGCAGGGAGCGGTGTGTGGGTGGGGAGAGGGATCTCAGAGGGAAGGCGGGGAGCAGTGTATGGGAGGGGAGAGATTAATCAAAGAACTTGGAGGTGGGATGGATGTGGGGTGGAGGGAATCAATGGGGATAAAAAGGGGACATCTGTAATATTCTCAGCATTAAAGCTAAAGAAGAAAAAAAATTAAAATTAAAAAACAATTGTGTTAAAACCCTGATGAGGCATGATATGAGATTCATAAATATTCTCAACATGGTTCCCTAGGGAGATTTTTCCTATAAAGCTTTGAGTTGACCTGCCATTGTGTGTCTCAGAACCATAACCTTTGCAGTTGTGGAGGAACCCGTCCATGGTGCTAGTTAATACCTGATCTCTCTAGTCTGTTGATTTAATTAATGAATAGCTGAACTGTTGGTTTAGCTCATAGTTGGATGCTTTGTCTTCTGTTGGTTAATTGATAATCTCAATTATGTCTTTTTAGATGCCTCTGATGATCTAGATGACTTGAACTTCTTTAATCAAAAGAAAAAGAAGAAAAAAACAAAAAAGATATTTGATATTGATGAGGCGGAAGAAGCTGTAAAGGTAGTATTGCTTTCTTGTTGAAGGTAAAATTTGACCTCTTGAAAGATTGCTCAATGGCTGATGTTTCTCCCTCTTTGTCTCATCTCTTACCAGCTTTGCTTTTGTTAAGTACTTAATTAGCACTGTTAAGGTCATTATGTCTAAGGGATTATGATTTAAAGGAATGTAAATTTAGGTTTTATATATTTTATTGTGCTCCTGTAAAAAGATGACAAGCTGCCCCTTGTCCTTAACTATATTGAGATTGGCTGAGTGAGAGATAGTTTAGTAAGTGAAGCAGATATTCTCATGGTTTCCTCTGTTAAACTTTGATGGCATGTTGAAGATATACAAATTTATGTGTACCTCTGAGCAGCAAAGAATTTGTGTGTACCTCTGTGGTTGGTGGCTGATGATATTATGGCCTATAGGAGAACCAGAGCACTCGGGCTGTTTTTATGGAGTTCTCTGATCTTGTACGTTGTCTTAATAACTCAGAATTCTTTTGAATGAGTAGATAGATGGGTGGGTAGGTAGATGAATAGGTTGGATGGAGGGATGAGCTGAAAGCCTGTTCTTCCCTTGCTTAGAGCTACCATTTTAAAGACCCTGTCCAGGAACCTTAAGCAGAGCTCACCCATCTGTTTGTAAAACCAAGGATAATAGCAATTTTATATATACACAGAGAAAGAGCAAGAGTTGAGGAAATGTATATTGTATAGTAATTCACTGAATTTTGGAAACAGGGTCACAATTTTGGTGACTTGGGTAATTCAGCAAATGTATATTGGTGAGTGCATTGAGTTGTTAGGTATTGTGTACTAATTGCTAAGGTACTGAAAGAAATAAGATATTTTTCCTGTCTTCAGGACAATTTTGAACAAGACAATTTTGCCTGGATTTACCTTACTTTCTCCCTGTTTGGGGATTCTCTTCTCTTCTCTTCCTACTATTGTAGGGAAATTGAGAAAGAAATGCTCAAATTATACTGAACAAGTGATACTTAAATATCCTGAGTAACAAAGTGACACATCAGAGATGTGCCACAGAAAATCTTGGTTAACAAGGTTTTTTTGGCTGACACTCTAACCACTGAGCAAAATCAGCTTTTGTCCTGAAGAGTCACTTATATAAATTCTGTCCACTCTTACTAAGTGATTGAATACTTTTTTCTCTGCTATCGAAGTCATAACAGAAGAGGTTACAAATATCCTTATCAGGTAGGACATTAACTTGAAGCTGAAGTGTTATTTAAGTATCTTGGGTTTATCTCCTGTCTGAATTTTCAGACCACAGGGCTTTTGAAAAAGCTTGAAAAATACTGCTATTCTCTGCCTTTCACCAGGAGCGACTTAACCTCAGTTTGGAAGTAGATCTTAGTGAGATAAAATAAATAGTGTAGAACTAGAAAGCTGGCTGGTGTGTGCTAATTTATATTTGGCATAGCTGAGTTTCTCATTTATTGACTGTCATCTTAGAGACTAGGTTAATAACTGGTTTCTTGTTTATGTGTTATCTAGCTAATACACATGGGCTGACTGGTTTTAATGGCCAAATGTGGCACTAAGACTACACGGCTGGATATGGGATATCAGAGCTGAACTTCATTTACTCCCAGCTATTTAAACTTTTCTGCTGATAAGATTTCCGAAATTACTATAGCCATTGTCAGTATGTAGGCACACAAAATTAGATATTGGTAGGTAATGTTGACAGCACATTTCAGGGTAGGGAGCTGGATAAGTTGGTGAAAGGAGGAAGAGATTAGAAGATGAGACTGAGACTGGCCCTTTCTGCTGTTGGGGGTTTATGATTCATTTCTGGGCTGTGTGATATGCCCTGTTTACATCTATGACTATAGCAACTAATCTTGGGATCAACCTTTACCTTGTCTCCATCCATTCATCATATCCTAATTCTTCATGGGTTCTGCCTTTCTTCTCTTTCATGATGTCATCTATCAAAGTGATGATCAAATACCTTTTCACAGTCTGGTTGCAAGGCTTGACTTTGGTATAATAAAAAATATTTAGTCTTTGTCTCTGGTTCCTGACACACAGCTAATAAAACCCTTGCAATATCTGGAATGATAAAAGTGTCCTTTGAGATGACTGGTGGCTGGGAGCTCCTGAATAGCTTCAGGATAGGGGCTGGTAGTCAGAAAGATTAAGCCATGATTAGATTATTGGAATTCATAGAACCTCACCCCTTAACCTCCACCCTTTCCCTGGGGAAAGGGGTTGGAGATTGAGTTCAGTCACCAGTAGTCAGTGATTTAATCAGTCATGCCTGCATGATGAAGCCTCCATAAAAAACTCCTAAATGTTGGGGTTTGGAGAACTTCAGGGCTGGTGAACAAATCATCGTGTTGGGAGAGTGGTGTACCTGGAGGGGGCATGAAAGTTCAGCACCAGCCCTTCTTCCCTGTTCATCTCTTCCATTCTGCTGTTCCTGCATTGAATCCTTTATAACAAACTGGTAATAGTTAAGTACTTTCCTGATTTCTGGGTCATTCTAGCAAATTATTGAACTTTGGGGGGAAGGGGTTGTGGAAACCTCTGAATCTGTAGCCAAGTCAGATATATGTGTGGGTAACCTAGGGATCCAATACTGGCTTCTGAAGTGAGGACAGTCTTATGAGACTGAGCCCTTAGACCTGTAGAGTCTGTCACTAACTACAGGTAGTTTCAGAATTGAAATGAATTATAGGTCACCCAGTTACTGTCGGAGAGTTGAAGAATTGGTGTGGAAAAACACCGTGTATTCGGTGTCAGGAGGAAAAAACCCTCCCACTGATTACATCAGAATACTTAGGAACTTCTTGAAAATACTCCTGACCCTTGTTCCTGCTAAAGATTGTCAGTCAAAAGATTTAAGAATCTTTTAAAAGTTTACCAGGTGGTTCTTACAGAGGCCTGGTTTGGAAACAGACAATAACTTTAAGATCCCAAAGCTGGTGAAGGAAAAGATCCCACAGAACTATCTTAAATTTCCAGTGTAAATGGCATGGACTTGCTGAGCCATTTGGCTCACCTGTGAGACATTTCTTATATGTAACTTAAATTTTGAATATTAAGTTTTTCCCCCTCTAAAAGGATGTCATTTTTTTTCAAGTCCTAGTATCAAAATATTAAAACTCATATCTTAATTTTCTTAGGATCTTAAGATTGAAAGTGATGTTCAAGAACCAGCTGAACCAGAGGACGACCTTGACATTATGCTTGGCAATAAAAAGAAGAAAAAGAAAAACGTCAAGTTCCCAGATGAGGATGAAATTCTAGAGAAAGACGAAGGTAATATTGGGGGCCTGATTCTCAGGCCTTTGGCCTAATCTCTTTGATAGGTGGGCTCCTTTTTTTTTTCTTGGCCCTATTTCCTCCTGATATGGAAGCTAAAAAGAAACAGTATTTAACTTGATGACAGTTAAAGATTTCATGGGGATAGAATTCGACAATTGTGATTTTTATTAATCATGCAGATTCAGGTGATTGGGGAAATTACTGTAACTGAATTTATAATGCTAAAAAATTTTTGTTATGTTAAAAGGGCTATTTTATTAGTTTCTAAGTGCCATAGGGTCTTTAAAAAACTTCACTATAGTCAGCAGATGGGTCTTTATGGATGTGAATGTTTCTTAAGTGCTTAAACAATTGGATGTCTTTTCTTTTAATTATCCCAGTGCATTATTTTATCTTGTTTGTTAAATCAAAGAAACAGGTGTGTCTGTGTTATCACAAGTGCCGAACTAGAGAGGTCTCTAGTAAGGGTTGTTTATGAAAGTGCTCGTCCTTAAGGAATCAGGTGGTTGTGAAACTTGCTGCCTTTATGCTTGAGGCTGTTGTGAATGCAGCTCTGGGAGGGAAGGCACATGCTTCTGAAGCTTTCACCTCTCTAGCTCAGCCTCTGCCCTTATTCTTCCTCTTTGTTATCTGTAGCTTTAGAAGATGAAGACAGCAAAAAGGATGATGGTATCTCATTCAGTAACCAGACAGGCCCTGCATGGGCAGGCTCCGAAAGAGACTACACATACGAGGAGGTAAGACAAGGTCTATTGCGGAAGGGGGCTAAGCTATTCACTAGAACTCAAAGAAAAGCAAAAGAAAAATATATGTTCCTTGAATTGGAAGGGCCATTGAACTTCAGATTGATAGTGAAGCCAACTCAGAAAGGTTACACAGCAAGTGCACAGCATTGCCTGATGCCCTCATATAGGGCAGTCAGTATGGCAGTTATCATGGTACTCACTGTTCCCATCTGAGTCTGTGAACTTCGAAGGACATGGAGATGGAGCCCCTGGAGTGAGAGGAGGGAGCCATGGGGAGAGGAAGAGGCTGATTTGGAGCCAGGATAGCCTGGAGTTATGTGGGCTTTCTTGAACCGTACTTTATGATTGTATCATATACTTTCCCATAAAATCAGCAGAATTAGTAGGCGTTTGTTCATTCATTAACTTTCAACAAGGAATTGCTGAGCATTCATAATAGACCAGATCCTAGTTGAGAATTGAGTCCTGCTCTCAAGGAGCTCCCAGAACACATAGTGATGTGTGTGTATATTTAGTAAAAAGTAAAGTGTGCTCTGCTTAAAGGTAAAGCAAAGATTCAAGTATACCCCTGCTAATAAGAATGTACATGAATACCACTTCATCTCTGTAGCTACTGAATCGAGTGTTCAACATCATGAGGGAAAAGAATCCAGATATGGTTGCTGGAGAGAAAAGGAAATTTGTCATGAAACCTCCACAAGTCGTCCGAGTAGGAACCAAGAAAACTTCTTTTGTCAACTTTACAGATATCTGTAAACTGTAAGTTGGTTAATGGAGAATCTCCATTCCAAATTCCAGATTTTCAGTGGCATTTATGTTAAAGGTTCTTATTGAGGATTTAATTGCAGGTAGAAAGAGAATGCACAGCTGTCAAAGTTGGTTTGAGGGAGGTCAGAGTTCAAGTCTATCAGTTCTTTCTACTTACAGGTGTCAGGGCTTGTATTATCAGACATCCAGCGGTGAGAGAAGCCAGCTCATGCTAATGCCTGAGAGTGGATTCTAACCAGATGGAATGAAGAGTGAGAAAGCTAAATGTAGTCCTCAGACAGGAGCCTGGGCAGCCCAGGGTGGTAGAAAAGCTTTTGAGGCTGGAATGGGCCTGCCAAGCACGTGAGCTCTGGGAAAGCAGCTAAATTTGGTGTGCCTCTTCCTTGGATGGTCATTGTCAAGACATAGCTTTCTTAATTACCATCACATTCCATGCTTCTTTCACCCCAAGGTCACTCACTGTCTGGGCCTAGCTCTTCTTAGCACCTCACCTACAACTGTTTTTTGGCAGGTTCCCTAGGACAACAGACCTTATCTACTGTTTGTTCTTAAGTTTCGTAAGTGACATCTGCTTGTTGCAAATAAAAGGGTAAACTGGTAAACAAAAAAGAAAATAATCACTAAAAATGCCATCACCCAGAGATAACCACTTGTTTTCATTGCTTATAGGCATTACTTAAAAGATTTTAGACTTTTTTCATGACAATGCTCATAGAAAAATTAGAAAATAGAGACATGCTGAAGAAAATGAAAAACCATTTGTAAGTCTACCATTAAGAGATAATCATAATTTAACATTTTTATGTTTAGCTAGTTTTATGCATATATTTTAAAATAAATGGTATACTGTTTTTTAACCTATTTTTCTCTTAATATATCATGAAACTTTTATTTACGTTCATGGTCTTCATAAATGTTTTTAGTAGCTACACAACATTCTAACAGTTTTTTAGTTAGACATGGTTGCTCCCAGGTTTTCATTTCAAAGGCAAAGCTTCAGGCAACATCCTTGCCAGTGATTCAAAATAGAGCCTTAGGGCAAAAAGTCCCAAGATGGAATTGCTTAGTCAAAAGGAATGGATATTTTTGTGGCAAACATTGGTAAATTGTTTTCCAACAAGCTTTTACCAATTTATACTCCCACTAGCAGTGCAGGAGCTTACCTATTTATATTTTCACCAACCCTCACTCATTACATTTTGGGGGGGGAAAAATAACTGTCTTTAAAATTGTAATACTAGTACCTGGTTACTAGAACAAGTTCAAACAGTGCCAAGTGAGTACAGTTAAAAAGTGAAAGTATTGAATGGCATTGCTCTGTATTTGCTTTTTTTCATTTTATATGGATACTTTTTTTTTTTTTTTTTTGGTATATGGAGACCTCTTATGTTCTAAAAGCAGGATAGAATGGATGTGACCTAATTTATTTAACCATTCCCCAGTTGGTGAATATTTAAGCTGTTTTCAGTTTTTCTACTATTACACTACCATGAAATGCTTCTCCATATACTGTTCCATTTTTTAAAATTGAAATTTTCCAACAAGAAAAATATGGGGATTAGCATAAAAAAAAATTCAGGAATCCTGTTGCCTAGTTTTGGTGTATTTGACCTTTTGACACATTTGCTTCAGATCGTTTTACTTCTTTAAAAGAGGGTTTTACAGTTACAATTAAAGCCACCTTGTATCTCTTTCATCTTCCTTTCCAGAAAAAGATGTTATCTTATAAAGTTGTTTACCTTTCTTGTCCATGTTTTTAGACATTTACTCATATGTACACTATTTATAAATAATGTAATGTCTGGGCTTTAAAATGTATCTTTTTATTTCAGAGTTTGATGAAATGTGCACTAAAGTTCACCTAATAGCAGAGTAGTCACAAATTAAAACCGTGAACAGGTTGGTTTTTTAGAAGTTTGGTTATATTTCCATGGAGGATGGTTTATATATTCCACTTTCTTTTTAGATTACATCGTCAGCCCAAACATCTCCTTGCATTTTTATTGGCTGAATTGGGTACAAGGTAAGGAACTATATTCACATTTATATATAGTTACATACAGTATTAGTGAACATTTCATAAGGACTTTTCTTAATTTGAAAAGGATATAACACACTTAGGAAAAAAATCATTCACCACCCTGGCCTGGTGGCTCAGTTGGTTGGAGCATTGTCCTGTGCACCTAAAGGTTGTGGGTTCAGTCCCCAGTTGGGGCGGGTATAGGAGGCAACTGATCAATGTTTCTCTCTTTAAAATCAGTTAAAAAACAGCAAGAAAAACATACCTTGGGTGAGGATTTTTAAAAAAAAGAAAGAAAAACATTCACTTGATTATCAGAGCAAAGTCAGTTCATTTCTATGGGAGAGTTTGGGGGCTTGGGAATAGGGAACTGAGTTAACAGTGACTCATCTGACCAGGCCTGCTGGCATACCAAAATGAGGATCATGACAATGCTGTGCTTAGTTTCCTGTCATTAATTGCATTCTTAGATCTTTATGGAGCAAATACGAGATTTTAGAGGAAGTCATTTTGTTAGGTCAGAATTTATTTTCTAAATTGTTAATAGGCTATTGATGAAATACAGCTTACATATTGATGAGTGGCACAGGAGAAACATTGAAACAGGGATCCATAATGAGTTACTTCCCTGTCTTAAGGGCTCACCTTTCGAAGGCACCCCCATTCAGAAGGGCTAGGATCCCATGGAGTTGACCATTAAGTGCTAGGAAGCCAACTTTCTCGTTAAAAATAGGTAGATTCAGGGCATAATAATGATGACTAACACATATTGAGAGCCTTGGGTGCCATTTCAGTCCTTAAAACAGTTGCGTTAACTGTTAGTAGAAACTAATATTATCCCATCTTAAAGATTTGGAAACAGGTTCAGTGAAGTTGTAGTTGGTCACATAATTAGTTAATGACATAGTCAACATACAAACTCAGGTCTACCTGTTTCAGGAACTTGAGCTCTTAAAAAGACTTAATCCTGTGCGTTGCTGGCCGTACAGAGATAACTAAGGTGTTCTGCTCTCTTCCTCCTCTTGAAACTCTGTTGGAATTGGTCACACTTGCTGTGGGGTTAAGGAGTAATTTACTTGACTAGTGGTAGATTTGTAGGCTCTGTTACAAAAGAATTGTGTTTTAAATGTAAATTATATAATCATTGCTTATTTTTAACTTGAAAGAGTTACTCTAATGAAAGAGTAAAAGCAGTGTTTTTCCTACTCAGAATAATTTAGATTTTGAAGATGTAGGGTAAATTATAACAAGTTGTGAACCGGTGAACTTAAATTAAGGTCATTGGGCTTAATATAGGGTTGTTGAAAAAATTCAATTTCTTTTGACAGTAAATTAAAAAAATTTCCTACAGCAAGCATTGAAATATCAGTATAATCTGGAGATTAAGGGTTCCAGTCCATGGAGGATAATAATAAACCTTTATAGTTAAAGGAGAATCACAGGAGAGATTCTTATAAAAGAAATTTTAAAAAAATTTTATAGAGAAAGAGAGAGAAACATTGGTGAGAGCGAGACATCTTATCTCCTGCCTTCTGCGCGCCCTTCCCACTGGGGATCGAGCCTGCAATCTGGGCATGTGCCCTTGACCGGGAATTGAACTAGCGACCTCTTGGTGCATAGGATGATGCTCAACCAACTGAGCCACACTGGCCAGGGCGCAAAAGTCATTTTTATAGAGAGATGTGGAACAAATAGAAATTTAATGCTACCTGGCTGAATTTTGTTGTTTTACTTTGTGATTTGTAATTTTTAACAAAATATGTCTAGCTTAGAGCTTTGCTCTCTCAAAGTGCTTGTCATCAGCTTCTTTTCAAAAAGTTTCCCTTTAAGCACCATTGACAATATGTAGCCTGTGACTTCAACTGTACTTGGCAGGGGGTGGGAGGGGAGATTAACAGTTTTATAGAGATACATTTCACACATTTAAATGTACAATTTGCCCGGCCAGTGTGGCTCAGCAGTTGAGCATTGACCTATGATCTAGGACGTAGTTCAGTTTCCGGTCAGGGCACATACCCGGGTTGTGGGCTCAATCCCATGGGGGGCGTGCAGGAGGTAGCTGATCAATGACTTGCATCACTGATGTTTCTCCCTTCCTCTCCCTTCCTCTCTCTGAAATCAATAAAGACTTTTTTTTTAAAAAAAATACAATTCATTGTTCACATGATTAATTGAATACCACCACAATCTATTTTAGGACATTTTCATCAACTCTGTATGACAATATATGTATTTGGTGCTTAGAATTTTTAAAGATAGGTCCTACTTTTGCATATGGTATGCATTCAGTAAAAGTGTTTTTCCATGTTGAATGAATGAGCCATCACACACAGTTAAGGAATCAATTTGTTTTAGACTTAAAATCAACTATAAATCTGATTTGTTGCTGGAGACTTAATTGGTTGAAATTGGATTGTTAGGAAATATGGGTAGGTCATCAGGTACCAACTACTTAATTAAAAATAATTTTTGAGGAACCAGGTACAATAGCACCACTTATAGAACTTATGCCATTGGATATATTTTAAATTCATTGACTGTAAAGGTCCTGGAATTTGGTTCCTTACAGGATAAAGCAATAATGATATTTTTGTTTTCTTTCATAGTGGTTCTATAGATGGTAATAACCAACTTGTAATCAAAGGAAGATTCCAACAGAAACAGATAGAAAATGTTTTGAGAAGATATATCAGTAAGTGTGTAATTTAATCTTAGTACATCACTCTGAAATGTTCTCATCAGGCTGTATTATTTTGGGGAGAGTCACTGGTGGTTAATGGCGCTGGAAAGGCTGGCCTAAAAGGGTGAAGGAAGATGATAGGGATGGGAAGGTGGAGCAGAAAGGTGGGCTCTTGGTGGCCATTTGGGGGTGCAAGGAGAAGGGTTCCGATTTCCTAAGAAGGTCCAGCCAGTCAAGGCTGCTGGTTGCTTATAGGCTGAAGGCCAAGCCAGAGATATCTGCATTCAGGCCTGGTCTGCATTTATCTTCCTCATCACTTAAAATTGACAGGTCTCTTCCCACCTACCTAGGAAAGCTAGTAAGGTCTTTCTGAGTGGCTCTCCTGTAGAAGAACCAGGAGTAGGAATCTGGCAAGCCTTCCTGCTTCCTTGCACATTTGGAGTCTTTTTTTCAACCCATGGTTTAGTACCTGAAGCATCACAGCAGACAGTGTGTGTTTTCTTACCCTAGTGTAGCTATAAACTTACTAATAAGTTTAGCTAAGCTTCCTTGGTCTGGGTGCCAGCCTGCGCTTGTGGAGTTCAGTGTAGAAGTGTTTCAGAGGGAGGAAACCTCTGCCATCTCTGTGGCCACCAGTTAATTCTGTATGTTGCTTTTCCTGCAGAGGAATATGTCACCTGTCACACATGCCGGTCACCTGACACAATCCTGCAAAAGGACACCCGACTCTATTTCTTACAGTGTGAAACTTGTCATTCTCGATGCTCTGTTGCCAGCATCAAAACCGGCTTCCAGGCTGTCACGGGCAAGCGAGCACAGCTCCGTGCCAAAGCTAACTAATTTGCTAATCACCACTGATTTTGCAAAGTGTGTTGTGGAAATTGGCTGGACGGGTTTACCATCAGAGTGGATGTACCATTGTATTAAAAACAAGATAGAAAAGCTGCCAAGCTCTTTGGTGTATGGCTGGTTGACCTGAAATCCTTGCAAGATGCCGATGCTCAAGCTGTTGACATACTCATTGCCTACTTTAACAACTGTCAGAGAAACGTGAGGGGGTAAGGCGGTGCTTTTTTAAAATCGTTCATAGACTTCTGTAAAATGCAAGATAAATTAAAGTTATTATAACAGTGATTCTTTCAATTTGGTTTGTCCTTCAGTTTTCTTTTGTATAAAAATTGTGCTTAATGAATTCAGCAAAAACAGTTTGTGCCTGGGCTCTGGCGAGGTTTCTGCATTCTTGTCCTAAGAAACTGGACATAGGCAGCAGCCTCAGCTGGACAGCCATTTTCCTCTCAGCTTCTCCTGAGATACGTAAAGTAGACACAGCTTCCCATGAGAGGGTGGATGGAGCATGAGATCTGGGAGGACAGCCCATTTTCAGTGTCCAGGGAACGATTACACAGATATGAATTCATGTGAGGACTGTTGCTACTACCTCACTGCCAAGTCCTCTAGCTGTCACCATGAGGGGGAATACAAGGTGCTAGGTACCCTTCCTCCTTTGAATTTTCTTTCTTATTGGCCACTAAGAGAGTCTTAGAAACGGCCTTGAAGTGTATCTCATAATTGGCTCACTAAGAAAAACCCTAGTTGTGCATCTGTTGGTGAGTAAGAGATGTGGCATGTGCAGTACAGAGAACTCTTCTGAGTCTAAACCTTGATACAAGAGGAAGTTTTTCTTTTTCTTCTCCAACTTGTGTTCCGGGTTTGAAAAGACCCACCACAAATGCTTTTCTATTTTCTGTATTAAAGTATCTTTTGAAAGAGGTGATGCTGCCTATGTGTGGTGCTTCTGGTGCCTCTAGTTCTGCCTTCTGAGGATTTGGCTGGAAGGGTATTTCTCCATTGAGCATGGGGGGAAGGTCATCTTGTGTGTCTGCTGTGATCTGCTTTGCACGCACTTGCCAAGGATAAGGGCATAATGCTGCTCCGACTTTCTTGATGCAAGACTAATCCTAAGCGGCTCAGAAGCAGCCAGTCACTTAGCCCTGAATGTCTTGACCATGTTGTTTTTAATCACTGTGACTCTTAAAGTACAAGCCAAGTGTTGTAAAACACTTTGGCCTTAAAGTGGTGGAGGGAGCAGAGCATCCCTTCACACTGGCGGAGCTGCCACCACTGCCCTGAACTCAACTGCTGTTTATAATGCCATCTCCCTTTTGTGTCTGCGCCTGCGCGGTTCCGTGTCGGACGTTACTGAGTGAATAAAGCCAGGATCAGTTCCTCTTGTGTAATGAGTGCGCCCTTACTTATGTGTGTATGTGTTTTCATTCAATGGGACCCCTTAGGGGAAGACACGGGACTATAGTTTGGTGACAGGTTGGCAGTTATGTTGGCAATTTCAACCCATCGTTAACTTCATTCTCAAAACAGATTCTCTGGACTGATCCTGACCCTTTAAGATAGCCCAGTTGAAGTATTAATTAAATTGGATTGACTCTAATGAACTCATTAAAAATGGTGGGTTGCCCATTCATGGTAACGTTAGCCTCTCTTCTGCCTGCCATCTCACACCACCCACAGCTCAGCTGGAGGGGAACTTTCTGTAGAGTAACAAAGCAAAGGCATTTGCGGGTTCCTGGTCATGTCTTGGTTGTGAGAAAAACGAGGCTACTATTTCCAAACTGTCAGGAAACTGCTGAATATTCCTAATTGTAAGGGGAAGAGAAAGGGGTTCCATGGTAAAGTTTGAGACTAGATGAACAAGTTCCACGACTGCCTAAGTTTTAGTATGCTGGTGTCCACTTTCATGAGCACATAAACATGTGATTATCTCGTCTTGAGAAAATGCTTTGATTCCATATCCAACCCCACCTACAGAAAAGCTTAAGCTTGTCCCAAGATGTCTTCCTGGCTCACTCCCACACTTTAGAGGTCCCTGCCCACTGCATGTAAAACAACATCATCCTGCCCACTATAACATTAGCACTGAGAATACAATACTGAGAACAAGCGGTGCCTAGCAAGTTGTAGGTGTTCTAATATTTGAAAGCATAGAATATGCAGACTTTTGTAGCCCCCTCTGCCCCAAACATCTGCAGGATTAGTATCGTGCATTAAAAATGCTGGGCTGGACAGCCTGGAGGAAGTGCTACTGTGGTGTGTGAGGTCCCGGTTGTAAGCTGGCCTTTGCCATCCAGATCTTTTGCCCTGGCAATACAAAGGTTTCACATTTTAGATTTTGTGATGTGTTTTTAGAAGTTGGGCCTTGGTGTTCTTTTTTTAATTAAGAGGATGAACAACAGTCTGGAGTAAGTCTCCCTCTGCCATTGATTATATCCTGTATTCTCATACACGGTTGTCTGTCTCAGAGTAATCCTGATAAACCCTGCCATCCTTGCCAATAGAGACATCAAATTCTCCCAAGGATTGCAACAGAGGCATAGTGCTTGGAGCTTTGTCACATTGATGGTGGTGCTCGAGAGAAGAAAGGACCAAACACCTGCTGGGTCTCCTGTAGCTGCCATGGCCCCTGTCCTTTCAAACCTTCCCTGAGACTGAGATTTTCCTGAACCCTTTTAATCATTGCCCCTTGTTTTAAGCTTGGCTTTTGTCTTATTAACACATCTGAAGCCAATTGGAGGACCAGCTGTTCTAAGGGATAAGTATTAATAGATATTCTTCATATTAAACACCATTTTAATGGACATCATTTAAAATTATGAGCTGCAGATTTTTATGCACTTTTAAATGAGCCAGAAACCAAATCAAAGCCAAAATATTATATAGGAAATTGGCCAAACCTAATAATATCATATTGGGCAACAGCTTCAGTATCAACCATTTTGGCCTCAGAATTATGACTGCTTCATTTTTCAGTCCCAGATATACCAATGTACTATGACAGATGACTCATGTGACCCGAACTTGGGCTATTCTTAAATAATCATTTACATAAGTGGTTAGCACCATCAAAGTCCCTACTTTGTGCTAGGACCTGTTCTAGGTGCTTATACATATATTTAAACAGCACAGCAACCCTGAGGTAAGTATACTATTATATCCATTTTACAGATAAGAAAAGGAAATTCAGAGGATAAGCAAGTTGCCCAAGGCGGTCACAGAGATAAGTGGGGAACCAGGATGCAGTCCCTGGCATCTGGGTTCCAGAGCCTCTGCTCTGCCTCTGCAATGTTGCCGCTCAGGGCCACTGTAATCTGTTCAAGAGTATTACCTGAATGCCTGCAGCAAAAGGCAGTCCCCTGCCCTCAGGAACTAGTGAAAAGGAGAAATCAATTGTAAATATAATCTGGGCCCAACTGGCATGGCTCAGAGGTTGAGCATCAACCTATGACCCAGGAGATCATGGTTCGATTCCTGGTCAGGGCACATGCCCGGATTGCATGCAGGAGGCAGCCGATCAATGATTCTCATCATTGATGTTTCTATCCATCTCCCTTCCGCTCTCTGAAAGCAATAAAAATATATTTGAAAATAAATAAATACATAAATATATATAAATAAAAGCTGGTAAAAGGTGTGATAGAAATGGCACATAGGAGATGCCACTGTTAACTCAGGCCAGGAAGGTGTCTGCAAAGGGGACTTTGGGACTGATAATGAGGGTTAGCTAGTGGGAGAAGACAAAGCATTCTGGGTAGAGGCAACAGCATGAGTAAAGGTTCAGAAGCCAGTCTGGGGGAGGGGAGAGGAGGGGAGGTGTGCTAGAGAGAAAAGGAAGGAGTTAGATCCTGGAGACTTTATATGCCATGCTAAGGGGTCTGGAATTTACCCACTGGGCAGTGAATAACTGACAGTGGTAAAGAGGGAAGACTGATAGGAGGTAAGAGGAAGGGAGAGTAGTTAGGTTACTGCCGAAGTCCAAGTAAGAGATAAAAGGGCCTAACCTAAGGCAGTGGGATGAAAACGGGTTAGAGCCAAGACATACCATGGAAAAATTACCATGACTTACAATTAGAGAGGAGTGGAAGATGCCGACATGAGCAACAGGGTGGGCAGCGATGGACACCCAAGGGAAGCGATGAGGTGAAGCACCTGTATACACATCCTGGTACTCCTGGGAAGGACTAGGCTAGAGGTAGAAATGGTGGAGGCATGAGTCTGGAGTGTGAAGCCACGGGTCTGGTCAGCCTGGTAGGCGTACAGAAAAATTAGAGAAGGTAGAGAGGTGCTGGCTTAAGAGGAACAGTCAGCAAAAGATACCATGCCGAGGAAGAGGAGAGCCAGGAAGACTTGTCACGAGAATCGGAAGAGGAATTTCTAAGTTGTTTATGACAAAGGCATGTGGAGAGGACTTCCCAGGTTTGCATCCTGCCTCCACCTTTTCAAAGTGATCTTCGACAAATTATACAATCCAAAGTCTCTATTTCCCAATTTGTAGCAGGGATAAGTATCCAACTCTGGGATTGCTGTGAGGGCTAAATAAGATGATGAAGTCTGTGTTCAAGGTCTTAGCAGAGCACCCAGGAAATGCAAACATATATACATATATATTATTGCCCTCTTTCTATAGAGTCTAAAGCTGTACGGGTGGAGTATAAGTAAGAACACATAATTTGCCTGGCCAGTGTGGCTCAGTGGTTGAGAGTTGACCCATGCACCAGGAGGTCATTGGTTCAATTCCCAGTCAAGGCACATGCCTGGGTTTCAGGCTCAATCCCCAGGGGTGTGTGCAGGAGGCAGCCGATGTTGATATTTCTCATTGATCTCTCCGTCTCCTTTACTCTCTAAAATCAATAAGAACAAAAAAACCCCACGATTTGCTCCATAATTCTTTAGTTGACCAAGTCACACATTGCTTTTGAAAACCCTTACGAGCAAGAATGAATGGGACAGTCTCTGGCCTTAGGGAGCACTCTGTGTGCTCAGGGAGTTAGACATTGGGCTGTGCAAGGGATAAAGGAGATGCTGAAAGTGGGGTTTGAAGGGTAAGAGGGGACCTTACTGTTAGAAGGGACTGTAGGGTGGGGAAGAGATGGGGTCCACGTCAGAAAGTGAGAATGGGTAACCCTGTCAGGTTCTGCCAAACCTATGCACTTGCCCATCAAGACCCAGCTACTGTACCTTTGTGGAAGGACACCCTGACTATCTGGGTTCCCATAGAAAGTGCACTGAGGCAGAGGTGCAGGAGAGGTATGTGTGGACCAGGAGCCCACTCACCAGTCAGAGGAAAGGGGTGTCTGCTCATACAGGCAGGAGGGCCAGCTGGGCTTGCCCCATGGTCCTAGTGGCCAGGCCCACACACTGCTCCAGACTGAGTAACTCAGGCATCAGAACAGCACAAAAAGCCTCGTTATCACCTTCCTTTGCCCCATTTGTATAATATTCTATTGACTTTCTCTTTGTAGGCTGCCTGAAATACATTTGGGAACAAGGAGAGTATAAAAAGAAGCAGGAAATTGTGGTGTGTTATTTTTTAAGAGAAAAAGTACCTGAATTTGGATTAGGTAAAGATAAGTACTCTCATTTATTAAGTACTGTTATACAAAGATTTGTTCTTCTGTGTTTGAAATGAAGATAAGACTCAGGTTAAGTGACTTGCCTAAGATCATACAACAAATAGTCTAAATAGGAACTCAGTTAAACAGTCTATACTGTTAATCCAGTCCTCCTAAAGCAGAGCAAGCTACGTAACCTCTTTGAGTCTATGTTCCATTGATATGTAACAAACCCACCAAAACTTAGTGGCTTACAACAACAATCATTTGGTGATTACCCCTCATGGCGCCAGGCTCTGGCTAGGGTCTGCGAAGCAGTTCTTACTCAGTTTTCAGTGAGACAGTGGCTGGGCTGGAGTCATCTCAAAGGCTTCTTCGCTAACGTCTGACAGTTCATACTGGCTGTCAGCTGGAACATGTACACATGGCTCTCCATGTGACCTAGGCTTCTTATAGCGTGGTGGCTGGGTCCCGAGACACGAAAGGTGCATACTGCTGGGAGACCGGAATGGCATGACCCTCACCGTATTCCATAGATCAGTCACAGTCCAGATGAAAGGGAGAAGATACAGACACTACTTGCCAATGGGGCCGTGTTTAGAACCCCACTTGTAAAATGGGCATAACCACACAATGAAGACATGTCGTTTCTGTCAGCCCAAGCCTCCTCTTTTCCAGCAAAAGAACTCATATTTCCCTTTTGGGGATTCCTTCTTCCCCCCCTCCACCCTCACATGCCCTGCACTTTTCAATTTGTGAAGCTAAACTTCCTCCTTCCTAAGGAGGTTTGAGTTCAGTTTCTATAACTTGTAACCAAAAGTTCACACATCAACCTAAAGGGTTGTTGTGAAGATTAAATAAGTATAAAATGTGCCTTTTACACAGCAGATATACAAGAAATGGTTTACTGTTACTATGGAATAATTTTATTATGAAGAATGTGGCCACTGGCAGAGGGATTATGATTTACCCAAAGTTAATCAGTGGTCCAACTGCAATTCAAACCCAGGACACCTGGCTCAGAGCTTCAGCCCTGCTCTACCTTCTGTATTTCTGTGGTCTCTAAGACCTGGCCAGGGTTGGCTAATATCTGACACATAGCCACATTTCAACTCCTTGCCAATTAAAAAACCACCAAACTACCATGTTACTATTTCCTAATAATCTAAAAATTGCTGTAAGTCCTCAAAAAGCACTCCAGCAGCTACTAATAAATGTTTTGAAGCAGCAAGTGAAAAGACACCTGAGACAAAGAAGAATTTGGGCTTAGCCATGTGACTTGACAACAGGACATAAGCAGGAGCTTGAGGAGCACTTGTGTATTGGGGCTTACCCTGTCTTGCCTGCTAAATGCTGTGAACATGTGGCCCAGTTGCCCCTGTTGCCCAGCCAACCACTTGACAAGTGAGTGAGGTTATCTGGGACCAACCAGCCCCCAGGCAATCTGCCAGCTCACTTCACCCACATAAGGACCCAGGTAAGCAGAAGAACCACCCAGTTGAGCACAATCCAAACTGCCAAGCCACAGAATCAGAAGCTAATTAATGTTTAGGAAAGGCACTACATTTCAGGGTAGTTGTTATACAACAGTTAATAACTGATACAAGGCCCATATTTTCCCTGATCTAGGCCAACCCCTCATACACATGAGGAAACAGACCTGGCAAGGAAAAAGACTTGCCTAACTTCACAATCCAGTAAACCAACTTCTGTGATACTCCAGGATGGCTGATAGAATCACAAATGAGGTTTTGGATCTTAAAAACATCTAGAGATATTGGTCCTTTGGGCACAATCTGGTATCACATTTCTTCACCATCTGTTTTTGGTTTTCAAAGGTTAGACAGAATATTGAAAACTGTTGAGCAATGGAATGGGAGATAACTTCCTTAGCCCCAGACATGGTGAGGGCAGGGATATACATGCAGGGTTTTATGGTTATGAACCTCCTGCTCAAGGGTACAACTGTAACTATTCCCTGGAAAGCCAGGACAGGGATCCCATTCTCTGTCCAGGATATGTTCTGGTATCAGGGCGATTAGGCAGGGCCTCTGGGTAGAGAAGATGCTTTCTGCACTGAAATGGGTCTTCCCTGCTCTTCTCATGGCACCCTGTGCCTGACATACTACAGAAGCCCATAAGCCCCTGCTGTTCTACCTGACCCCCAAGCTCTGAAAAGTGCCTCAGTCAAGTACTACCAAGTAGAGCCTTGCAGAATCTGGGAATGTTATTACAGTGCAATGGGCACAGAGCACTAGGCTCTAGGAACAAAGGAATATGGTGCCAGCCCTCTGAGGTTCACCAGGCTCCAAAACCCCTTCTTTAGACTTTGTCTAATGCAGCTCCAATTCAGGGTAGTAGTTCCCCATCTTGCACAGGTGGGGACACAAACATCTGCCCAGGTGTGCAAACAGGTCCGCTAGAGCTGGGCTCTGGCCTTCTGTACAGCAAAGAAAGATTTGAGTTCAAGGATGGTAGGGGTATGTTCACTGAGGGCTATTCAGGGGAGAAAGGACACTCCCTGTGGACCTAGTACCTTCCTCAGGACACCTTCATCTCTCCAGACTGAAGTCTTTTGTTTTGACCAAGCTGGGCAAGGGCCCAGCCTCGTTCCAAGCGGCTATTTTTCACCCCAAGTCTAGATTTCTGAGAATTCTCAGTGGTACGGACTAGAATAGCAGCTTAATGATAAGTGGATAATTCCCAGGTAGAGAAAGTAGAAGCAAGAGTATGTGCCAGGCTTGGAGCAAAGTATGTTCGTGGGTGCCTGTGCACCCACAGCCCTATGCCAGTGAGACCAGCCTAAGTGGCCACACTTGAATCACCCAGTTCACTGGACCAGGGGAGGTACCCATGGCTTTTTGTCCTGGTCAGTAATCTATGACTGACTCAAAATGTAACTGCTGTGGCCACTGATTCCCTACTGGGAACCTGAATGCGGAGAAACTGTACAATTTGTGGGGAATATGGGGAAAGGGGGCAGGAGGCGAAGTTGGGACAGAGGTGGAGTTTGAAGGTACCTGGCCAGTTAAAGAACAGAGATAAGTGCAGACAGGCCACGCGTAACCCTGACGCCAAACTCCTGCTGGGTGAGGTAAATGGAGGGGCTCTATTTCTTGCTGCCAGTGAGTGTGAAGGACTTGTTTTGTGTGGCTGCAATGTAAGGTTTGTGTGTGTGGTGACAAAAGAACAGGAGAGACCAGGATCACGTACCCCTATTCAGAAGCTGGCATTTTATCCTGACGACGAGAAGTCAGAAAGGGAAGGGATATGATTCAGAAATAAGGCTGTGGTGGCCTCTGAGAAACGGGGCAGAGAGAAGCTGGAGGCTGGGAGGCTGGCGAGAGGGCAAAGTGCCCGTGAAGAAAACAGTCTCCTAAACCAGGGCAGAGAGGGGGGACAGCGGGTTCTCGGACTGCTTTAGAGCAGGGAAAGGCCGGACTAGTGAGAAGCTGCAGCCTGGACCTACTATTGACCAAGTGGGTAGCAAACATTCAGCACCCTCACGGGCACTGGCATATCTGGCCTCCCCAACAGCCCTGCTGGCCATTTTATCTGTTTTTGCTGTGGAAATTAAGGCCCAGGTGGATCAGTATTACACACCCTAGACAATGGTCCCTGACAGGTAAGAGTGAAGGAGGGAGCAGAAAGGGGTAGAGTAGATCTGCTTTCTGATTGGGCAGGGGGGCCAGGGTACCTTTATGAGAAAACACAAACTATCCCATCTCAGAGCAAGTTGGGATCCAATCTCTTTATTGTTAGGGTCCCCTCTCTGTGCCCCCCCAACTCCTCTCCAAACCTATAGAAAAACCCCAAGCCTGGGAGTGTCCTGGGCAGAGTGTGGGAAAAACTCCGTGCTCTGCCCTCTGGCCTAGGCAGTGCCAACAGGGAGGGTATGTGGGAAGGGGAAGCTGATAACTCCACCTGCAGAGGATGTGGCACTGGCCAGGATGCATGGGGGATGAGGTGCCTGCTGCCAGCTCTTCTCTGGGATGGGCTGGGGTGGCATCCAGGGGTGGGTGTCCAGTTTGAGGCCTGGTACAGTGCACGCCCTTCTCTTGCCAGTGGCCATCGCTCCTGTCAGACTGAGAAAGAGAGAAATGAGAGGCTAAGGCTGAGAAGAAAAGTCCTGTGCTTTTTTTTTTTTTGAGAATTTTTCTGAGTTTATTTGAGCCAAACTGTCAACAATTGCTGGGAAGCAAAACCTCAGCAGACTGAGATAATGCTCCCGCCCTGTGCTCTTAAAACAGGGGCTAGGAAGAAGCAAAGGCCAAATGATATTGCTACTTGCAGGCGGAGGTATGCCTGTGCTCTGGCTCTGGCCTCCTAACCTTCTGGTCATGGAACTCCGGCCAAGTCTCTCCCCCGTCCTGAGCCTCCACTTCCTCACCTGAGACTCTGCACTTCACCTTCAAACTGGCTTAACAAGGTAAAACTTTCTCTGGTAAAACAAACCATGAAGTTCCAAGAGAAAAAACCACATGTAAGGAATTTCCTACACTTAAACGGTCTGGGAAGCCCTTGCTGGTGAAGCATCTCGGCATGAACGTACCATGAATACACGCCTCTGCTGTTTAGGCGTTCCTCCACCCAAGCCATCTAACTAGAACGTGGCCCCCAAAGGAATGGGGCAGAGTTGGCAGAGCTAGGTAGTAGACACTGGCTGGAGTGGGCTTTGAGGCCACACAGCAGTGGGTTCAAATCTAGACCCCACCAATTACCACCCTTGGGATCTTATGAGATATGTGGTTTATCTCCCTGTGCTCCCGCTTCAGTGCCTCAGTTTCCACATCTGTTATATTATTAGTACAATCACAACCTGTGGGGTACCTCCTGGCACGCAGTACGTTTCCACCTGAGAGGATCAGGTCCCAGTCCCTAAGCCTGGCACAACCTCACCTTCTGATGATGAGCAGCTCCCTCTCCCTACGATGCAGAGCTGGCACTGCAGCCACAGGAGGCCCCTGGGCATTTCCCACACACTGAGGACTGCCGGAGCTCTGTGCCTCTGCTCAGGGTGTTCCTCCCTCAATCCTGAACAGGCTCAGCTACATATCACCTCTTCCACCACAGCCCTCTTTCACCGCCCCTGGCTCCTAGACATTCCTGCTCATACTGGATGGTAATGGTTTGTCTTCCTCTAGAAGAGAGGATTCTCAGAGCTCTTCCAGGGCGCAGGCGGGTACCATGGCTCAGTGTGCCGAGGGAACCCCTGCTGGACTAGCCTGGCTAGCCCATCCATGGCTCCTGCTCCCATAGCCTACCAAGCCCCCACCACAAAGAGGCATGGTGAGATGGCTAGGGATAGAGGGGCCTTCACTGCTGGGCACAGCACTACCCTGCCAAATCCGCTTCACAGCATGTCCTCCACTTCACTTCATCCCTTGCCCACCAGGACCACCATACCTGCTTACTGCAAGGCCCCATCCTCTGCATCTGTGTCCTGGCTGTGCTCCTGATAGGGAGGAGGCAACAAAGAGACCACACATCACTCACTGCAAGCTCTGAGTCCTGCCCTGAGGCCCAGAACATACCTGGAGGCCAAACTCAGAAAGGGGGAGGGACAGCCAAGGGAAATGGATATGGGACCAGTCTAAACACAGCTGATTTGGGATGCCAACAGGGTGGACTGAGGGCCCCTCAGGAGAAAGAAGGGACCAGTCAAGGAAGTTCTATGTGTGGCAGGGGGCATGTTTCTGCATAAAAAGACCTTCTCAGATTGGACCGGGCTAAAAGCCTAGTAGACTGGTGAGCTAACTCCCCATCTTTGGGATATCTAAGCCTTTAACAGCCTTTAAGAAACCTATGCTCAAGAGAGTAAGCTGAAATAACAGGCAAGGTTGAAAGAAATGAGCTGGACACGAGGAGGACCTCTTACGTGTTGTGATCACGAGCCCAGTCTGTCCTCACACCAGAACCCAGCAGTGATGAAAAGGAGAAAGTTCTAGACCTAGTGAAGAAGTCTGGGGTCCAATCCTGGCTCGGCCCTTATTAGCTATAAGGCCCTGAGCAAGCCACTTGACTCCTCTGAGCCTCAGTTTCCTCACAGGGTAAAATGTGGGAATACTTTGCACAATGCAGGGCTGTTGTTCAGGTTAAATGAAATTAGAAAGTGTGGACTACAGGGCCTGATGCTCAGTGAGTGTTTCTTAGGTAAACAAGTAGTAAGCACACAGCAGATACCTTACAGACTCAGAATCGGGTCTACCTTCCCATTTAGTATCAGCTCCTTGCCAAATGGCTTTCCACCCTCACAGACAGGGAACTCCTTTGATCCCTCATGAGACTGCCTATTTCATGCTCAGGCAACAATCACCAGGTGGAGTGAGACCTACTTCCCTGAGGCTTCCCCAGGAAATCCCAGTGTTGCTCCCTGGAACTCTGCAGACCATATGTGCTTCCCGAGCTCCTGACTCTTCCCCTCTCCAACCCATGTGGAAAACCGAGTCTAGAATGGGCCCTGGGCTCAAGAGAGGTCTGCCCCAGGCCTTGGTGGGACGTGGTACTTCTGACTGACGGCTGAAATAGGCAACTACTCCCTGCTCATTCCCCACCTTCCTCACAGGACTAGAACCCCTGGGAAAAAGGAACCAGCTCAGAAGTTCCCCCTTCCCCTGCTGCAACCAGGAGTGAAAAGCCCGGCCCCAGCCCCTCCAACCACGCCCTCACCAGCTCTTCCTCGCTGTGTGTCAGCAGCCCCTCCTCATCACCGTCATCTCGAGGCTGTGCTTCTCCCTGGGGTGTGCCTGCCTCAGAAGTTGTGTCCTCTTGGGGGGCTGGTGGCCGGCTGCTGCCACCAGTATTGCCACTGCCACTGCCACTGTCGCCTTTCTTCTTGCCATCTTGAGGGAAAAGGGGTGAAGAGGGGAATAAAACAGCCTGGGACAGCTTCCCAGGCAACACCTCAGCAGAAGCTAAGCCTCGAGAAGTGGGTCCAGGTGGGATTAGAGGCCAAAGCCCCTCTCTGCCCCACGCACTGTCCTCCCACTCCCACCCCCCTTGCCCTGGGCCCCTGAACCAGGGCAAGGAGTCTTGGAAGCTGACCTGGGTTGGCCCTCTGCTCCTCGGCAATCTGTTCCAAGCGGCCCAGCAGGGCATCGATGTTGGACTTGATCTGCGTCAGCTCTGTCTTGATGGCCTGCAGCTCACTGCTCTTTACTGGGAGTGGAGGGAGTACAGGGCTGTCACCTGGGGCCTGGGAGCTCGATACTAACACAAGACCCTAGCCCTATTCTGTCAGTTGGGAAGACAGGCCTGAGGCAGGAATTGTTCTTGTCCACAGCTCTTTTTCTGGCCAGGGAAAAGGCTGTAGCTGCCTGTGGCTTCCCTTGAGACTTTCTGAAGGCCATTCCTAAAGTGACCAGACTGCCCTTCTGAACCTGGATCTTTCCCCACACCCGACTTCTCAATTCTGAAAGGGACTGGGGCTGGATAAAAATGCACTCTGTGCATCTGAACAAGTATGTGTTTCTGCTTGTGATATAGAATGGTGTCTACCTTTTGAGGTGTACAAAGGTGGGTGTTTTACAATCTGGTTTCCGGGATGCCTGATGACAGCGTTTGCACACCAGAGTAAATGTGGAATAGTGGGCCTGTGCAGACCTGTCCTTACTAGAGGAAAGATGACACCATCTCCTCACTGGGTTCCATGTCACAGCACTGGACTCTGTGCCCAACCCAAGCCCCCCTCCCCCCAAATGTCAGTCTTTTCCTCTTAGAAATACATGAAAATACTCACTTGGTTGTGTTAGAGCTGCAGAACTGTGGGAGATTTGTTCCTTTATCTATTTTCCAATGTAAAAAAATGTAATTCTATTATTTTGCTAATGACAAAAAAAGTTATTTAGGAAGAAAATAAGTCACTTACACTTGATCTTGACTGAGCTGGTGGTGATGGCTGTGGAGCGAGCAAAGAGCTTGACAGGTATAGTTTTGACGCGGCGGACCAAGGGGACTGTAACCCGGGGTCGCTTCACAGGGACAGCCCTAGGCACAGGCACTGGTGACAGGCGGCCCCGATAGTCGAAAAGCCTGTGAGGGCAAACGGTCCAGAGGCTGCAGCATGGCCTCTGGCCACAAGGGGTCACTGTGTAGACTAACATGTATCTGGCTGATGAAGGGCTGGCCTGAATTACATACCTCTGCTTGCTCCCAACAAGCCCTGGGGGTGAAGAGAAAGGCTTTTGAAACCCTAAGAGCTGCTGGGATCCTCATTACATCCACCTTTCCTACCAGCCGGCTGGTTAAGGGCAGGTGAGGTGGCACGTGGTAATAGTTACAGCCCCATTCAACATAGTAGTAAACTGAGACCAGCCCCAGAAAGGAGCCTTCCCTAGATTACCCAGGCTTGCTCTATTTCTGACCTAACTTCTGCTCAATCAACTGCCACCTCAACTCCTGGTCAGAGTTTGCAAATCTTGCCAAAGCAGCACAAACCTTCAGATGGGAACAGAAAGCTATGGGTCTCGAGGGCCAATCCCTAAGCCTGCCTGAGCCTCAGTTTTCCCATCGCCTAATGAGGATGGCTATTCTGTGGCCCCCTCTCCCTGAGACTGCTGTGAGGGTGGAACACGAGAGAATGTGGTTAAATCCCATGTTAGAAGGCGTGACTGGTGAATGCCCAGGGTTCCAAGAGAAGCATGAGGCCCTTTCCTCATTCTGGACCCCCTCCGTCACTCCATCCTTACTCCACCTCAGAGATAGAGGGCAGGAGGCCCAGCAGAGCATCAAGGTTGGGCAATTCCATCAGACCCCCAGGCACCCCACCCATGAGTTCCCCCCCC